ATGAATAGATTAGAATTAGAGGGGGAAAAAATTCATAATGCTATTTAAGATTTAAAAAGGGCCAGGTGTGGTGGCGCACACCAGTAATCAAAGTACTCAGGAGGCTGAGGCAGGAGGATTACTGCAGTTTCAAGGGCAACCTGAGTTACATAGTGAGTTCAAAGTCAGCCTGGACTATATAGCAAGACCCTGTCACAAATCGCCCCCAAAAAGGACATAATAGGAACAGAAACCACCAAATTCTTATATAATGAAATGCATTTCTTTTAAAACAATGCATTCAGAGATTCTCTACCTCAACAAATAGTGAGTCAAAATGCACAAAATTTTAATTACGATCAAATAGGTGCATAGGTTGGAGAATATATGCTAAATAGGTAGCTTTTTCTGGAAAGCTCTCAAGAAGTAGCAATGGAGTCAGTGGGAATCCCCTGTATGAAAGATCACCTTGGGTTTGCCAGGGAAAACAGAAATCTGACTCAAATAGCACCTTTGCTGGAGAATCTCCATGAACCACCTCACAGGCTGTGTCGTGGTGCCAGCTGGCTGACACATGTGGGGAGTGTTGGACAGCTCAGCCCACCATGTTCCTCTGGGCCAGTCTCAGCCAGGTGGCCCCACACCCAGCTGAGCTTTGGGAAGCAAAGTAGCACTGGCCCAAAGCTGGTAGCTCATAGGTTCTTTTTTTGATAAGCTGTTCTCACCATAATGGAACTCAGTGGCAATTCCTGTATGCATTTTCATGTGATTACACCTTCATGTTCCAAGTAATGAGTTTCTCTTCCTCATGGGAAGGCCTCACCTGCCTGTGAGCTTTCTGCAGACTCTTAACTCTTATCCCCGTTGTGAAGTTATGATGCCCAGCAGCAGAGACATGTGCTTATGGAGCATGAGGGACACAGGTGTTGTGTAACCCTCCCCTTTCAACAGCTTCAGCGCACACGATGCTTCCCTCCTGATCTCAAGCACCCACCCACTGCTATTCCCATTTTAGAACTCTCTGGAGCAGAGAGCAGTATACTTTGCAAATGTATCTAGTGCTTATTGAAACACATAAAACAGACAGTATCACTCAGAACACCAGATCCACTAATCTGTTTACACCACCCACTCTCAGCTCATCTCTAAAGTGCTGTAAATATTGGATTTTGTATTTGGGGAGATTGTGATACTTATCTAATGAAAGAAAAATCAAAACAAGATCCTGAACCTGTTTGTAGCTGGAACTGCTCTCCGGGCCTGCCTAGCTCTACATGTGATAAATACATTCTGCATGGCTCCACTTCCTCCAGGCCTGCCAGCCACTTCCTCCCGTACTTTGATATCAATAAATATATTTAACCACCTGAGATATTTGGCCTAAATCTGCTACATTTGATCTTTAAATAGAAGCTTATTTTAGGTCTGTCTTTTTAAGTTAAATGAGAAGGATAGGGTGTTTTGTGGCAATTATGTGGTATGTTCTAAACCAGATTGCTTTGTTTAGCATTAAGAAATCAAGTAAAATTAAGCTATAAAATGAGGGGTTTTGTCCTGAAGCAGAAGATATTAAAGTTATCTGGAATTAAATAAAAGCCTTATTTCATATTACTAATGAATGTTTATAATATATACTCTATTGAGATGCCCATAATTATATATACTATACACATATATATACACACACATATATATTTGCATTCTATTTTATGTTTTTCTCTTCTTATCATTACAGCAATGAGTTCTCAGTCTTTTCAAAGAGGATACTCTATAATTTCACATCAAAACAGTTATTAAGCCTTTACTGGAACTAATGATAATACTTAACTTTATTAATGATCATTTACAGAACACAGCAAAAGGTAGTCAGGATTTAATTTATATTTGTATCTTATAGTACACTTCATCAAAATAGCATCCACAGAGACTTAAAAATAAATTGAGCATGGCGGAACATTCCTATTATACCATCACTCTGGGGGACTGTGGCAGGAAGATTGGAAATTTGAGCCCAGCCTGACCAATTTAGCAAGACTCAGTCTCAATATAAAAAATAAGAAAGGAACAATAACAACAATAACAAAAAAGATAGGGGATATAGCCCAGGATGAAGGCCCTGGGATCAATCCCCAGTAGCATGTGGACAAACACAAAGCAGTACTGCACTAGCTAAAAAGAAATAACCTTTATTCAATCTAAAAGCAATGCTTAAGCATGTGTAAATTCACGGCCCGTTCAGATTATCTATGGCCCAGACTAATCCAGAAAGACCAAAGTTTGTAGTTTGTGCTGCAGTTTCTGTGAGATAATACATTTCTCTCTACTGGTTCTCATTTTCAAGAAACAAATCATTTTGTCCTAAAAAAAAAAGTTAGTCTAATTTTTGTAATCTGATAAATGCCCAGAGTCATGAGATCTTTTATCTAATTAAACAGAACTTTACAGCAAATCTAGAGCAAGACTCTAAGGGGCAGGAAAGCTGCTAATTTGGACAGCCATGGTGAAAATCTTTCATCACAAAAAATAAAATTTGGGTTCGATGAAAACAGAAGTAAATTGTGATTATATCTGTCTGCAAGATCCTAGGTAATACTGTTACTGTATGGCCGTGTGTAAGGTAGATACAGGTCCACAGCGGACTGTGGGTGTTGAGGAAGATAGCTGTGTGACTGAGGGAGACAGCAGGCGTCACCTTGATGCCTCCCAGGAACACAGGGAGACATTTGCCTTACACAAGAGGGTATGGGACAATGTGTTATCAAGGCTTCTAAGCCTGATTGGAGCTCCTAAGCTAGGTGTAAACTAGCCCTCAGGGGACTTTGCTTTTTAAATACACAAACACACACACACACACACACACACACACACACAAGTGAAGACGCATGACAGCATCTTAATTTAATGATTTTATTAATGACTATTAAGGGGCAGGCACTTGAAAAAGAAAAAGTCTCTCCCATTGCAGTTGAAATTGATGTAATTCAGTGCGCTGGAAGGCCTCTGTAAGGAAGGGAAGAGTAAATAGAAGGTTTTATGTATTTTGCAAGAGCCATACCAAATACATAAAAAAAAGGTGTATGCAGAGTAGGGGTGCAGACAACTGAGAAAGCCGGAACTGGGAGGGGAGCTTACCTGGAGCTTTAAATCTGGAAGAGGAAGATTCTGATTTTGCTTTTGGCTAGAGGGGGGATTATATTCTTGCTAGCAACACAATTGTCCTTTCCTTACTTAGTTCAACTCAGAAGAGACTACACCAGTAAGATAGTGTGGAAGTCTGTAATTTGAATAGGTAGAATTTGTAAGCATTTATACACTTGCAAATAGTGTATGAAATATATATTTGAGAAAAACATTATTTTTGATGCAATAGTTTAGAGGTGAGATTTTTTTTTTCTTAGATAGTTAAAAACACAGCCTGAATTATCAGATAGGTAGGGGAACAACCTACTTTCCAAATGATAAGGTCAAATTTTTAGCTGTTATATCTATTGTACCTCCTTGTATCCAGACTTTTCCAGACTATATATCAGATTTTCTACACTAATGTGTGCTTATTTGGCTCGCCTCACTTTTCAATATTATAAAACATGAAATGTCAAAGTATTAATCTTATCATTAATGTGGCAGTCATATCATTTTGAAGCATTTATTCCTCTTTCTTCAAAATGATTAAACCATTATGCTATTAATCATTTTCTGCTTTTTTAACCCAACAAAAGACTATGATGTGGAATAGTCTAGTTCACACCTCCACATAAGGAAAAAAATGTTCATTTTTCATTCCTTGAAATGTCACAAATGTGTTCTTATTGTGCTACTTTCTCTCTTGCTTTAATAGGTATGGAGGGGGGAAAACAGCAAACTTCTAAAAAAGCCAGAAGAAATTATTTCTTTTAAGTATTAACATTGGCGCTATTATTAGAATGTGTTGGTAAGGTACCACCATCTGCTAAAAGTTAAACAGAAAATAAGCAAAGCCCAAAAGCAAGACCAGAATTATTGCAATATACAGAAAAGAATTTGTGGTGTGCATACACAGTGCATTTCATGTTCATCCTCAGAGAGACCTTCTCTTTGGTGGGTCTTATGAGGGTCTCATGAAGTTAAAACTCGGTAAGGCAAGAAGACTCCTGCAACCGCAAAATCGTTCTTTACCAAGGCTCAGGAAGTAATGGTCCAGGATTGCTGCTTTCTCTGAATCTTTATTTTGTCTCACTTGTATCAAAATCTGTTGGAGGACTAAAGCAAGATGCAAGCATTAGTATTTTGCTGGGCTTCATTCTGTTTTCAGACACACCTAGCTTGTGAGAATCTCGAGCTAACTGCTGGGAGTTGGGGTCTGTATGTGAATTGTGATCCACTGTATGTGTCATAATATTTTGAAATAAAGAAAATGGAAAGTGATGAAACACCTTAGTCAGTCGTGGGTGTAGGCTTTTCTGTCATCTGCTTTTCTTCCCCGTGGTACAGGGGCCATGTATGTGGTCAGGAATACTTACATATCAGAATGGGCAGCTGAGAGGGTCTATTTCACAACTGCACGGAACAATGACAGTAGCTTTATGTATGGGTCTTCAATCATGATGCTCTGTTGTCAATATGTAACTAAGATTTTTTTTTTTATTCACTTGCACCAGTTTGGGAATCATCCACGGGACTGCTTTTGGATAAACATTATTTCCTTAGAGTGTATGTGTGGGGTGAGCTGGAGGGGTGACTGCAATCTTCCAAAATAGCTGTTTCTACAACAGACAGGCTTTTCTCCCTAACAGCTTTGCTCGGAGTCGATATTTCCTTTCTTGGCGTGGGGCGCACGCCCTGGCTGCAGCTTCACAGGCAGCCTCGGGAACTGCAGTTTGGTTGTTGGATTTGGAGGAAGGCAGCTGGGGTGTGGAGGAAAGGCTGAGCGTAGAAGGTGCAGTTACATAGCACGGAGCAGGGTTTGCGTGGGATTGATACATGTATTTTCTCCTCTGTGCATGGTCTCTCTGCAAATAAACCCATCTCTATTTTATTCATAGTTCTAATGGCAAGTCTGTGTCATGGTCTGAACCAGGTGGAAGACAGGTGCCCAAGGGACAGCACATGTGGCACCGCCTCTCTGTGCACGTGAAGACCAATGACACGGCCTGCAACCAAACGGCCGTCATCAAGCCCCTCACTAAAAGTTACCAAGGCTCCGGCAAGAGCCTGACCTTTTCAGATACCAGCACCAAGACCCTGTACAACGTGGAGGAGGAGGAGGACGCGCAGCCGGTTCGCTTCAGCCCCGCCAGCAGCCCTGCCACGGTGGTGCACCGCCGCGCGCCCGCCGCGACCACGCCGCCTCTGCCGCCCCACCTGAGCGCGGAGGAGACGCCCCTCTTCCTGGCCGACCCGGGGATCCCCAAGGGCTTGCCCCCTCCCCTGCAGCAGTCTCCCCCACAGCCACCGCCCCAGCAGCAGTCCCTGATGGAGCAGCTCCAGGGAGTGGTGGGCAACTTCGGCGCGGGGATCCCAGACTTGCACGCGGTGCTGGGCGGGCCCGGGGCGCAGGGGAACGGGCTGCGCCCCCTGTTCCCGCCCCCGCCTGCGCCGCAGCACCTGCAGATGCTGCCGCTGCAGCTGAGCACCTTCGGGGAGGACCCCGGCTCCCCGCCCGCGGACGACGACGACGATAGCGACAAGTTCAAGCTGCTGCAGGAGTACGTGTACGAGCGCGAGCGCGAAGGGAACACGGAGGAGGACGAACTGGAAGAGGAGGAGGAGGACCCGCAGGCGGCCAGCAAGCTGACCCCGGAGGACTCCCCGGCCCTCACGCCTCCGTCGCCTTTCCGAGACTCGGTGGCCTCGGGCAGCTCGGTGCCCAGCTCGCCCGTGTCGGAGTCGGTGCTCTGCACCCCTCCCAACGTGACCTACGCCTCTGTCATCCTGAGGGACTACAAGCAGAGCTCGTCCACCCTGTAGGGAGCAGGCGTCCTCGCGGCGAAGCAAGACAAGCCGGAGAGAGCTCCGACCCCTCCAGGGACGGGCAGAAAGTGGGAGGAGAGGCGGAGGAGAGGGGAGAGGCGGGAGAGGGAGCCGGCTGCTGCCTTTGGAAAGGAGAGGGAGACCAAGCCGATTTCCAGGCCAGGCCGTTGGCTCTTCAATTACTCAAAAGCCTTCTCTAGGAGGAAAGAGAATTCTGACAAAGCACAATCCACATGGTATGTAACTTTTAGCGCAAATAAAAATAAAAGTAAATAAAATCAACAAAAAATAATCTCTTTTGCACAGCCGTGCATCCATATATACACCCGCACACACTTGGCCATGCTTGGACAGCGACAGCGCCTGTGGACGTGCGGCCGAATCATCCCTTTGTGTCGTGGCGTTCGTGGCGAGCAAGTGGAGCGGGGCAGAGGCGGCGGGGTACAAGGGAGGACCCCAGGGACCAGGTGATGGGACAGCATCTCTCCTGGTTCTCAGAAGCCCTGCTCCCCGTTGGGCGCACAGACTCCTACTATGCAGGAGACTCAGAAACTGACCCTGACGAGGCCTCACCTCACCCGCCGCTGTCACTCGGTGCCCGCCTTGCTACTGCACTTGGAGGAAGGTGCCCGATCACTCCAAGGCGTTGGGATTTTCCTCTCTTTAGGAGAAGAGGAACAAGAGCAAAACCTCACCAAGTGCTTCCCTTGGGGTGCTGTGGGAGGAAAAGATGAGAAGTAAGATGGCGCCCACGCGTGGGTCTTTGAGAAAATCCAGTCGGCATAACCACCTTCTCATACTTGATGCTTGCTTTTTGGTGACGTTGGAAAAAGGCAAGAACAGCAGATTGCTTTAAAAGTGAGAGACATTTTGTGGATTTACTTATGTTTGGGCCAAGTGGACTCGCCATTGCCCTTCAGTTAAACAAAACAAACCACATGGCAGAAGTGTTACCCTCCCGTTACTGTAGCAAATAAAATTAGTCAGTTGGACTTTTAAGATTCAGTATATGTACAATGTGGTGCCATTGTTTCTCCGATATACTACAGAAACAAACCCATCTTTAAACCTGAGGGTGTACTCATAGCAACTATTACCGGTTTAAATGACAAGTGATTCTTTCCTATTGTCATTGGTGTCCTTGTAACTAGCGAGTGAATGTGTTGCTGTGTGCCTGTATACGTGTGACCCTAAAACTTGTGCAATGTAATGTCTACCTACTGCAACTAGAAGATTGTTTTTTGGATAGAGCATAGATATTTTTATGTTCCAATAATGTTTTATATATCATTGTGACCCATCTCTGCAGAAGTTCTTTGAAGGTTTGAGTACTACGATCCAATGTTTTTCATATGAAGTTCAGATGATGATTCTTCTAAGATGGAACTTATTTTTGAGATATTTTATGATGTGGGAATGTTACTAATGAAGTAGCATAAAAATTTATTGTATAAAAGATAACAAAAACTGTGGACGATCATAAAAGGTACATTTTATAAACTTGTGCAGATCATTATTAAAACATAAGACTGAAAAGACAGGATTTAGATTATTTCAGGTTATTTTAGTTTTTTAAAAAACGATTTCCCATAGCTGATTGAACTTTATCTTCCTCTTGCATACAACACCCAAGTCTAGTCATGATTTTTCAAGTATTACTCATCAATCATATTTTCCTTTCTTTTAATTTTCATTTTCATACACTTTTATTCTTATGTTTTTGCTATCATAACTTTTCTTTATTCCCTCACTTGCTGCTGTGTAATATTCACATACATATAACACAGTTATTCTATTTTTGTGCTCTGTTATTGTCCCCAATAAAAGAAGTTTCCTTGGTGTTTATTTCTTGGTATTTATTTCTTCTATTATTTGCAGAACAAATCCTATCCCTTTAAATGCCTTACGTTTAGTTGTATTTTTTAAAGACTTTCTGCATATTGATGCTACCAATGATGCTGTTGATTTCTCAACCAAAAATCATCTTCGACTCATTGCATATTGACTGCATTATTTATTCAGAATTTAATTAACTCCAACTTTGGAGACTTGTTTCCTGTGTTTTACCATGTTCTACCAAAGTGTAGTCAGTTCAGTCAAGGATAAACTGTCTCTCCTTTACAAAATTATTTTACAAGACCTTTACTGAAAAGACCTCATGACTAAACTGTGAATTTCAGTTCCATGTTTTCATTGTAATGCAGCAGAGTGAGAAAAAATGGATGGTTCCAGCCCTTAATAGATGGATTTCTACTAATAGGCATTCTAGCAAGAGGATTCATATTATACTTTATTAGTGAAACATGGCCTTTTAGTCTTAAAGCCACTAATGTACAACCTTAATATTTGAGTACTTGTGCATTCAGATTTTTTAAAAGTCAAATTAGACAAAGAAAATGATTTCTATTGAACTAAGATATTAGTTTGTTCTGAGGTTTTGGTCTGAGATATTTGGTGAGCACATTCAACACTGATTACAATAATACTCTGCCTACTAATGTCATAATCATGAGTTTTCCTAAATAATTAGAGTATTAGCTCTTATATCATAATTAATTAAAAACTGGAGACGTACACATACATACTCTGTACCAAAATGGCAGAAACTCTTCACCTTAATGTATGTGATTATGCAAATTGTTTTGCTTCTTGTAAAAGTGATTTCCTTTGGCTTGTTACTGCCTTTTGTCAAATAATCTTGACAATGCTGTATAATAAATATTTTCTATTTATGAAAAGTGTATGTCCCTCTCTAAAGTTTGTCTGACTGTAATAGAAATGGACCAATCTAAGAAATAATTCCTATGGTTTCATTTTGCTGACACACCTTCTAGGTGAAAGTTGGAGAGCACCATGCAAAATCTACAGAACAGGTAGGTGACAAAGTAAAGAAAAGTTTATTAAAGTGTGATCCAAAATTTAAATTTCTAACACCCATAGCAGACATTTTCATTTGTGTTTTTGATAGAGTATGTAAGGCTTGACAACCTTCTGGATCTACAGGGGACCTCTGGGGACAAAAACATCCCCTGCTCCACCTTTGTTTCCTTTGTGCCCTACAAAGCTTTTCTGTCTGTAGTTTACACCTTACAGGGAACTAGTTTTCCACTTTGTTGATGTCCTTCTGTTCATATTAAGTGCAATTCCCCTAGATTTAGTGAAACTTCATTGGAGCCCCAAAAGAAAAAACAACATTCACACTTTCTGCTATGAAATTCTCACAAAATATGATGTTTTCCAGGTATCAATCAATGAGATACCAGGGTGGTATGAGGGCTGTGTTCATGAAACTGTGATGTGTTAGATGGTAGAAAAAAGGTACCTGTTAAATAAATTACCATAAGTGGATTGAAATACCAGTGATTTCCTCAGTGTGCCTAGAAAATACAGTAAAACGTCATGAGACTGGAACCTTGAATCTCAGGAAGAAAAGTCATAGAAGGAAAGGTGAGAAAAAAGATAGGTAAAGAAGATGATACAGAAGAAAAAGAAAGTGTTTGAGGTATGTAGTCCAAAGATATATACCTAAGAATCACAGTGGGTCAGAAGGCCTCCCCTTGGAGAGAGCATAGAAGCTTCTCCTGGTGCATGTGGAACACATTTGGGGAATTGGGATTGGGTTCCGGATACCACAAAAATAAGGGGGAGTAACTGCACCATAATTCCTACAGAGAATACTCTGAGAGGCAACTGATGCGAAGAGAAGCATATTTATAAACCCGTTCTGTGCCAGACACTGGTCACTGTTAGAATGGCTGCTACGTGGAAAACTGAAATAACTTACCCAAAGTCTCACCTGGCAAGTGGCCCCAGGAAGCCTTTGATCCCTGACCTCAGCCAGTTCACAGCCTGCGAATTCATGCTCCTCTCCAGAGTTCAGGAAGTGTGTAGGAATAAGGTCCTTTTTACTTGCTAATAATCATTTTTCCTTGCTAGTTTCTGAGCCTTGGGGACAAAGCAGATATTGAGTAACAGCTTGTTAAGAAAGTAATAGTAGTAAATGAGTGTTATCACACCACAGTTTCCCTAGCTTAATCCCCTGAAGGTTTATTTCAAGACCCTCATGGGGTCTGCCTGCCAATTCTAACTCTGCCAACTAGAACACCACATGCTTTAATCTGGAAAAACAAACATCTCTTTTGGTTTGAAGAAGAGCTGTCCTATTTTACAGCAGGTCCCCCTTTCCTGCAGAAGAGGAGAAAATACTTATTGTCCACTGAGTTCAGCCAGGTGTGGGAGACAGCCTCCTCTGGCGGAGAACTGTAGTAAGACAAACCAGGACACCACCTACAGGAGGGCCATGGAAATCATTCACCAGGAAAGCAAGGGCCTGGGCTCTTTTCCTCATAGACATGCATGGCTTCAAAGTAAGGAACAGTTTAACTTGGGAGTTGAGCTAATAGCACCATACACCAGAAACTGCTTTAATTTTCATAAGGTATTGTTTGGGGAAGACTTGATAGTGTCTTAAAACCAGAGGTAGACTTAGAAGTGATTCAAAACAAGCTCTCACCCTGGTTAGGATTCATTCCCCTCCATCCTATTTTGTTTTCTAAAAGCAAGAAACCACTGCTGATAGGTAGAGCTGGGATACTCTGCATATTGCCTGAGATTACTCTGCCAAAGGAGAAGGCAGAGAGCCTGGATACTATGACGGCAAGTTCAAAATAACTTGTCAACCCATGAGGCAGGCCAGAGAACAGAACTTAAGCACAAACATAGGAGGAAGACACTTCAGGAACCAGACATGCTTAAAGCAAGGACTAGCAAGGGTGTCTGATGAAATTCAAGAGACAACATGCTGGTGATTAAAATGAGCTTTTGGTGAGAACCACAGAGCTGTTCATGTATAATCTGGGTTTATTTTAACCCTCTGCTTAAGTGTTTACAGGAACTAGGATCTCGCATTTCACAAGGGATTGCTGTAACTGTTAGAAAATTAATCTTCTCTAGTTGAAATTTGCCTTTCTGTAAATTGTTTACTCCAAAGCTCTGTCCTTTACAGAACATGTGCACAAACTTCATTCACTGTGTGGACAACTTCCCCTCAGCTACTTGAATACAGTGATTATGTCATTTTTGTGTGATTTATTCTGCGATCCAAAGGGGCACAGTTCCTTTCATTGCTATCTTTGTTATTCTGCTCCTAACTACTTATCAGCTCACACTCATCTTCCAAGTCTTGAATGTTGTTTTCAAAATGCTGTATCCAGAACTAGAGCTACTATTGCACATATGCTTCATGTCTTTTTAACCATTATTCTGGTGTTGCTCCCTGTGATGATGTCCTCTTTGTAGTCTGGCCACATTTTGAGCTCACACTTAGTTCCGAGTCAGCACTAACACATGTCATGTTCTGCAGGAAATAGATACAGATCTCAATATTTTTTAGTTTCTCCAGAAGCAGATCCTGAGCAAGAGACTTGAATGCAATGTGTGTATTAAGGAAGCAATCCCTGGAAGCTTTGGTAGCAGTGTGGAGAAGAGGGGTAGCCTGGATTGTACAGACACTAGAGGGTGAATTACCACACAGGTAACCCCTGTGGGAGGGGTCACTCCTCCTTGGAATTCTGGAGAAAATGGAAGATATATATTTCACAATGGTCTGCACCACCCATGAGGCAAAGACATTAGGGGCATTTATCTAACCATGCTTGTTAGTTATGCTTGGGACTCCTGGGGGTGCATATCCATTCCCAGTTACTACCAGGTGCTGTTCAGGCTCCTTAGTTTCTGTCTCCAGAGAAAGGTCTCACGCAAGAGAAGAAGATGCTCAAAGCCGGATATACTTACTGCTGGCCTGTGTGATGAAGGTGAGTGCTGAGAAGATGTGGGAGGGGTTGAAACAGCACCTATTAAAGATGTGTTTATGGAGATAGAGAGATAGGTGGGTGATGGATAGATAGATGATAGATAGATAGATAATAGATTTATAGACAAATATCAGTACAGACAGAAATGTGAAAGCAAAATGCTGCAGTGTGCAAAGCAAAGGTGTATTTTTAACACTAGCACTGAGAACACTTATAGGATCACCTGAAGAGACTAATTTTCTTTACAACAAAATATCACAAGAGAAAACTCAAGCAAAACTTGTCTTTTAAGTGAGCATGTAGTTACCCTTTGGATGATTTCTTTGCAGTGACTGTTTAAATTTTGTCATTTCCCTATTATAAGAGTAAGAAAATACATTGTAGAAATTCTCTAACTAAGGGAAAACATGGACATCACATCACCCAACTATTATCACTGTACTTATTTTTCTTTTTGCTGGCCGGTGACCTTCATGTAGGTTCTGTTTAAACACCATTAGAGTCATCTTTCTTTTATAATTGTGTTTCTTGTAATTGTGTTCTTGGCGTTAGGCCTTACAGGAGCTCCCACTTGGTCAGAGGTGAAGAATTACCTCTCCATAGAATTAGGCAGCATTCCCTACCCATGTGAAGTACAAGAACCTTTTGGAAATTAATATCAGCTCCCAACCAAAATAAAAATATATTTGTGCCCTAGCTTTCAGGTAGGAGGGTGATGTACAGACCAGGGTATGGACAATGGCAACTGATGGTCTGAAAGAAGAGGGAAAGGGTGGTGAAAAATGTGAATGGAATTAGTGCAAATTGGCATCAGAGTGTGGTGGTCAGAGGAGTTGATCGAAGGCATGAGAACTCAGTTTACTGTGACAGAGAGAGCTGTGTGGCCCAATGGTAGGAATGGATCTTCAGGGGCCTGGGACTCTGCTGAGGGTCCTTGCCTTTCACTCTGCCTCTCCTCCGCTGTACTTTCCATCCCCCTTCCAACACACATGAAATTTAGTAAGATGTGTATGTGTGTGTGGGTCGGGGCGTCCTTGGCCTGAAGAAAAACATGATCGACCATGAAGGTCGGAGGTCCTGTTCACAGACTGCTGAACCTGCAGCACGAAGTCAAGTGGTGTCCATGACTTCATCTGCATGGCTCAGGAGCAGGTGGCACTTGAGCTCTTAGCCACAGCAAAGGGGAGAATCTCAAAGGAAGCTAGGGATCAAAGGTGAGCCCATGCCAACCTAGGGGAACTCCAAGCCAGGAATAGCTGGGCAGAAGTCTACGGACAGATGCTGGGACACTCACAGGAATAAGAAACGATCCTTAGGCAATAGGCAAACCTGCTCAGCAGCAGCTGAGAGTAAGGAGACATGGGCAGGGCAGGGTGCAAATTACAACAAGGGTGGTGTTTGCCTTTCTCCAGAGAGAACAGAACTGGAAATACCATGGCTTTTGCCTTAGAGCTTAGGGTTAATCACTAAAGTGATCTGCTTAGGATTCAGTATAGAAGGATGGAAGGCATTTCTTTCTGAGATCAGCAAAGCACCTGATAAACATTATGTTTTGTTTTTTTTTTTGTTTTTTGTTTTTGGTTTTTCTCCAGTACCGGGAACCGATCTCATGACCTTGTGCTTGCCAGGCAGGTGCTTTTGCCGCTGAGCTAAATCCCCAGCCTCCTGA